ATTATAGCGTTAATTGTACTCCGTAGGAGTACCGAATTAAGTCGCTATGCCAACGAGGCCAAAACAATGTCAAAACAGTTATTATCTATCATTTTATACTTAAAAAACATATATATAAAATTTTAAAGCCGTAAGAACTAATCTTTTTTATGCATTTCAGTTGCGCGATGGACTGAAAATCGGCCGACAAATAGACAAAGATGAACGGCGTCGCTTCGCATTTTTTACTGAAATTTTGTTGAGTCAACTATAAACAAAAAATCGCACGATATTCTCGTACAATTTGGAATTAATAGACACTCGTAATGTTTTGAAAGTTCTTTAATTGCACTCGCCCCAAATTGTACTCGAGATCGTGCGATTTCCTATACTAATTGACACAAAATGGTACTATTATACAAATACCCAGGATATTGCTGAGGAATTTAATAAGTACTTTTGTGCCATTGGACCTGAGTTAGCAAGCAAAATCGAAAACAATAGTGTTAATGCCATCAACTATATTTCAAAATCACCCTCCTCTAGCATATTTCTTAATAATCCAGTCTTCAAAAGTGATGTCTGCTTAAAACTAGAAACTTCTAATCTTCTTTAGATGTTTGAATTAATTATTTCTAGCGGGGGTGAGCTCTTTAGATACACCTCACTTTAAAAAACGTTTTCTCCAAAATTTGGATAATACAAGCTGTGAAAATTTCACTACCATCTAGATAAAGCTCTGGTCTATTGATGTTTAGGATGTTTGAAGAAAAAACTTGGAACCGTTTTAAAGAAAACGGCGAAAATGTGATTTTTAGCAAAACTCTCATATTTATGGTGTTGAGGTTTACAACGACAATAAGTAAAAAATTATTCCATGAGTTTTTAAGATTAATTGATGCTGATTTTTCATGAAGCTCATGAAATCGAATCTTGTGCGTGAAGAATACTTTTAAATTACTACCCCGTTAGCAGAGGGGGTCTTTTTCCCTCAGCAGGCTGAGCGGCAGCCTGTCGCACAAACACAATCATGTCCCTTCATTCTATATCTCGTTACTAGTATATGATATGATACGGCACCAGAATTCGCAAATTATGAAAGTTGATAAAATTGCGAACTTTTTTTRCTAGTATATGATATGATACGGCACCAGAATTCGCAAATTATGAAAGTTGATAAATTCGCGAACTTTTTTTTACTAGTATATGATATGATTTTAAATCATTTTAATACGACCACAAGGAAATTGCGAACTTTTTTTTATTAGTACTGTTAAAGAAAATTGCAAAATTCGCAAATATGTAAGTTCCGTATACTTAACTGGTTCATCCAGCATGAAGTCCTGGTCAATTTTAATTTTTCAGAGCCGGAGTGCTTCGAGTATATTGAGCTTAACTGTTCTCTATGCTTAGCTGGTTCATCCAGTATCATGATCATGAAGTCCTGGTCAATTTTAATTTTTCAGAGCCTGAGTGCTTCGGGTATATTGAGCTTAACTGTTCTCTATGCTTGGCTGGTTCATCCAGTATGAAGTCCTGGTCAATTTTGATTTTCCAGAGCCTGAGTGCTTCGGGTATATTGGACTAAACTTTTCTCTATGCTTAGCTGGTTCATCCAGTATGAAGTCCTGGCCTGAGTGGGTTGATTTTGTCGAAAGAAATAAAGGCTTTTCGTCGTTCAAAAATGATGATTTAATTCGAATAGATTGCAGTGAGATCTTTTATTTCAAATCGCTCGAAAAACATCTAAAATATAGTGATTTGTTAGCCGCTTAGAGAAGAAAAATTATTATACTCAGGTAAATACCTCGAGTATGATCTGTCCACGAGGACGGCTGGGGTCAAACGTTTGGTCACGACATTTTTGTACATCAGTACGTTTATAGCGGAGCTCCCGCTCGGCCAGCGCGAGCGGAGCACCATACTTAAGGTGACTGCCTACTTTTGGAAATTGATTTAAGGTGGCTCGACCCCCTCACGCTTGACCGCTACCTCCCACTTTTGGAACGCTAGTGCATAAATGTCTTTTATCCTATTGCAAATCTTTTTTGCACATAAGTCACATAAAGATTGAATTAATGTTTGATGCAGTTTTTAGTGAGATCGGACGTCATAACACGTGATTATGATGAAATATTTGTTTTCGTTTAGAAAACAATTTTAGCCTTTCAGAGCGTTCAACACTAAAATGCTTCGTACCACATAATTATATGCTAGATGCCTCCAGTTATACCCGGTATCTAGTCTTAAAAGGAACATTTTGAAGGTAATAGACTTATGCGATTTTGTGAAAACGTATAATGCATAAGACGGGGTAAACATTTGATGCGCACTTTTCATCGCAGTGTTCTAGTCAATCTTACTTGTTTGCTAATGATCTAAACATCAAATTCTTTCGCGCCATGCACGGTCTCATCTCGCTTGGTAACAAACAGTTGTTTTTTTTTATTCAAACGTAGGACGTTTGTCATGATGTACTTTGTCAGTGTGAGTGAATAGAATCGGCGAACATGCCTCAAATTAAAACTTCAAGAAAGAAGCGAGCAAGACTTTTGAGTTTAGATAAAGAACCATACTTCG